CAGGTCGCGCGTATTTTGCTCAACTTTATAGCCACAAAAAGCCATAGAGTTGGAACTGTTACCTAACCATTGTGTGATATGATGCAAGACTGTGACCTTGCAACATATTTTGGTCTTTAAATCTAAACATGCATTCAAAAATAAATCAAATTAAATCATCTAAACATGCCAGCATCATACCTCAATATTTTTTTCACTCAGTCTGAAAGAGAAGTGGGCGTTTTACGTGTCTACTTGACACTTCACTTCACTTCAAGCTTCACTGCAAACGCACCCAACTGTAACTAAAGTTTACCTGTCTAAACTTATCATCAATTAAAACTTCTTCGTCACTTTCTCCTCTTTATATCTTTATTACAACCTAAATGCACAGAACTCTGAGGCCTCGCGTGCCTCGTGAGTTCTGCATTGATGGTGGACCTGTTTTTTTCTCCATGCTGCACTTCATGGCCTCCTCTACTTAGCAGATATATTGTTCTTCCTACCACCCCCCCACACACGATGAGATTCCTTGGCGCACACAGTCACACAGGCTTTTAGACACTCATTAGCTCTTACTAATACAATAAGCGTCACCTTCCATTACATGGTGCTCGGCTGGATATCAGGATTGGAAACCCACCAAATCTCCACACAAGCGGTGCTACCCCCTCAAGCATGGCATTGTCTTTCAACCACAATGTCAGATTGTTGTCTCTTTTCTCTTTAACCAGTGTCTTAAGTGTAAACATATACACTTAATGTAGATAAGTGCACATACTGACACCTTTCTCCGACACACACACCATCTCATGGATGCTCTTTGAAGGAGTGGCTAAACTGGCACACATTCTTGCATTGTGTGGATCCTCACATCAACTTTGGGGTTTGTTTCAGTGCAGGCAGCTGTTTAAAAATCCACCGTGCCCCCACCCTATTCAAGCCTGTTGTCTCGCTTTCGAACAGCACATGTAGAGGTGTAAGAAAATCTTAATTAAGACTCCTAATTCTCCGTGCTGTCGCCCGACCACGGCTGTGGACTCACGTGAACCCTTCTGCACGCAGCGTGAGGATAGACGTCGTTGGACCAGGTTGGCAGTTTTGTTCTATCATCTGTACTCTTCAAACTTCAACCAGGATTAACAGATACTTATTAAAATCTATTTAATAAAGTTCTCATAATAATATAATTGTGTAGCTTGTTGCAAACTTTCAATATAAAAACACTACTATGTAGCAAAAAAATTTCAAAAGACCTAATAGCAAGTAGTTTTTCATTTTTGAGGTAAGGTGTAAATTGAATAAACATGATTATAATAAAAGAAAAGTTTTCATGTTTTTTAATAGTGTCATTTTTCCTGTAAACAACAAACTTGTCTAGAGTCTGGCCTTTTCATCAGGAATCTAATTTGTTAACATAACAGTTAACACGCACATGTTAATGAATTTTCCTCATTATACTGAGAGGCTACAGTATGCCGTATGTCACCGCACAGATATATAATGTGTAGTGACAAGTGCTTGCCACTGTAAAGGTGATTTCAGCTCTGGGTTTTGTATGTCGCTCTTGGGTCTGAGGCTTCTCCCTCTGAGCAGTGGCAAAGGGCATGTGATCCTCGGCGTGCAGCAGATGCCCTGAAGAAGACTTGCAGCAGATGAGTTGAAAATGAGCGTGACATGTGTTAAACAGGCGAAGCCCCGCAACGCTGACGTTTGACAAGATGATGGGCGTAGGCAATTATTATTGTCTCCGCTTAAAAAGCAGTCAATATTCAGGGCTGCAGTCTTTGAAAGCAAAAGTCATAATACAAATCAGCTTGAACAGATTTTCATTACTAATTGAGGTGCCTGAATGGAATATGATCAGGCTTAAACAGGCAAGAACCAGATTTTGAAAGCCTTAAAAGCCCGAGGGTCCATAATGGTGATTTTAAGGAAATTGATATAAAACGACCGCTAAAATGATTTCAGTGACATCCTTACATGTAGGTGTCAGCGACTATGAGTTCTTTCTTTACACACTTGTAGTCATCTGCACGCCCTAACAGACCTCCGACCTCAGTCCTTCCTGCCCGACAAAAGTACCAATGATGGTGCGTTAGCCATGGGGTGGAACATGCCAAGGGGGCGCTCCACTCCACCCCCTTCCCTCTACCCACCCTCCAGAACCATTTGGACCACAGGGAATGGGTTAATCACATTAGAGGCCCAGAAGAGAGATGGGAAGTAGACAGTACCGTGACAGCCGGGGTAGCACTGGCACGACTAATCCCGTTAGGCCGAGGAAAAAGGGGGACGCCATCGCGCCTACGAGGCTGAGAAAGAGAAAAACATTTTCCCAGGAATGAGTTCACCTGTATGGTAACACGGCGAAGTTGGCCTGTTGATGCCTATTAGAAGAAACAATCGCACTTGGCACATACAAATGTTTTTTTTCATGCTGGGCACCACTTTATTGTCAGTGCCTGAAAAAAATCAGCAGCAGACAGTGGCATCGCATGAGATCCTCTTTCATGCCACAGTGAAGCCCCCCCTTTCAACCCACTGCTATCTGTCTGCCAAACAGTGAGAAGATGGGGAGGGGTGCTGTAAGAAGGATAGAGCCTATTTCATCTGCCATTGTAAGTGCACCCGAGTTCAACCTTAATGTAAACCTTTGCAGGCAGGATATGAATAGGATGCTCTCTATAAAAATATATCCTGCTGGGTAATCCGGCAGATGGCCACAGCAGCGGACACTACAAGGGAGGGTGTAGCCACTGCAGGGGTAAACGGGGAACGTCCGTTCAGCAGCCACTCTTCAGACTGGGAGATGTGGAATCAAGATTCTTAACTCCCCTTGGCAACGCTGGGAAACAGAGCCGTCAGTTTAGATCCATCAAGTTTCTACTTAATCTCACCCACCATTTTTTTTCTCTCCAGTTTCTCCTTTTTTTTTTTGTATCTTCTCCCTTTGTTGTGGGGATTAAGCCAAGTGGTAAAACAGTGATTTAATGATCTTTCCATGGCTATGTGCACCACTTAAACCATGAGACAAACAAGCTGAGGCATTCTAAGAGTCACCCCCTCTGAAGGCGGCTGTTCAGGAACTGTGAGGCTTTTGATACAGCTTTAAGCTCTGGCTGATTATTTTTCCCACTGCGGTGTGATGTGCTGTGCTCTGCTATGGGAAAATTGAAGTTTTTGTGTTTTGTGAAGGCCCATTGTAAACAGGATAAGAAGAAAACAGTTGGATAATTTAATGATAGCTTTATAATGATAAGGTATGGTAAATTGTAATGATTTCTTTAAGCACAAAAGAAGCAGTGCTGTTAAACTTCAGCATCGCCATTGCAAAGTATAAGAAAAATACATAAATATTGCAAATATTTTTTTTACAGTTGGACAAGGCAAAAGGGGGTCCAACCCAGTACTAGCCAGGTGTACCTAATACAGTAGTTGATGAGTGCAGCTCAAAACTGTTTACAAGTATCTTAATCTTTATCTGTCATATTTATTAAGACATTGAGCCCACCACTATGTAAAGACTAAAAACTACATTTTCCAACTCAAGAAATGATGCATTTAAATGTTCCAATATTATGCCACACCAGGAAATTATTTCTTCACCTGTGAGTGCCTTGTCTATTACTTTTCATGTATTACCTCTTCAAATTCATTCTCCAAACTCACATGGTGCAGAGCACTGAATATATCTGTTTGAGAGGTACAAACTACATGGGAAAAAGTACATACTGACCAATGTCTTTTTATCTTATTCAGAATATGAAAGAAACTTCGCTTTCCTTTAAGAAAACTCACACATTAAGGATTACTACAAAAAAAATCATTTAATTGTGGTAAATTATATATCAATACTTCTGATACAGTTTGTGTTTGTGTGTGCTTGTATATGTGTCTGTGTGTGTGTCTGTTACTCATTTACTGAGAAATAACTGCCAAGGCATTGGCAGTGACCAGCAGAGAGTAGGACTAGAAAGCCATAATAGGGCGACAAATATCAGAGGAGAGGCAGTCTGTGTGTAATGGATGATGGAGGTGTGAGTGTTTAGGGCAGTGTGCAATAAGTGGGTAAGCTGGTGGTTGGCTACATTGGGGGACACCAGTAGGGTCAATGATGATGATAATGGGGAGGGTAAGCACTCTATTGAGGTTAATACTTCTGAGCTGGCTAAGAGATTATGCCATTGTGAAAAATATTTAAGACCTCACCGATTTTACACCGCTAAGAAAGTCAGAAAGAGAGAAGACAGTTTTCAAACTACACATTAATATGAAAAACTGTAGCCATGACCAAGCTGCAAGTGAGCTGACATTCAGACACAAATGGCTGATCATTAAGTAATAATGATTTTAGATGGCAACATTCAGGTTATTGAGGAGTCAGTATGACCCCTGCTGTAATTAGAACATCAGCTGTAACTGCTGCTTTATTACAACCCTAATTCCAAAAATGTTGGGAAGGCTGTGTAAATAAAAACAGAATGCAGGGATTTTGAAATGTCATACACCCATATTTTATTTACAGTAGAATATAGAAAACATCAAACTGTTAAAATGTACAATTTTTAAAAAGAAATGGCTATTTTTTTTAATTTTATGGCAGTGACATATCTCAAAAAAGTTGGGAAGGGGCACGTTTACCACTGAGAAGAATCCCCTCTTCTTCTAAGAACAATCGTCTGCAAACTGAGGAGACCAGTTGTTGGACTTTTAGGGCGGGAGTGTTGCCCCGTTGTCTGATTTAGGATTCCAGCTGCTTTTTATTACCACTTACGTGTCATTATCATCCCAACTTTTCCGAGACGTTTTGCTGCCATCAAATAGAAAATTTCATTAAATACTAAAATACTAAATACTAAAAGTTTTCTATGTTTTACCATAAATAAAATGTTGGTCTGTGAGACTTGCAAATCATTCCATTCTGTTTTTATTGACATTTTACACATCCTCCCCAGTTTTTTAGACCTGAAGTTGTGATTATCACACAATCCCTGTGAAAACATGGACTCAGACAGGTGTAACAAGTAGAGCATTTGTACTTATTTTTAATCTGAGTCCTCGGTGAAGAGGTGGGAACGGAAGTCCTCCATCAAGGTGATGACCTCATCAACAACTTCAATCTTCTTCTTGACCGGGAAACATCTGGGCATGAGCTTTCGTTCATACTATAAGATTTTAAAGGTGGAGCCTTAACCATCAGTAGGATATAACTTGCTATAAAATTTTTTTTCCAAGCTAACTAAAATTGATTTGTTGGTAGAGCATTGAGAGGCTAAGTGTCTTTATTTCTCAAAGCTAGAGGTAACATTTCTCAATTGTAAGAAGAGCATTCTGTGTGTTTGTGTTGAGCTGCATTTTTACAGATGTTCCCCCTAACATCACACAACAACCACTTATATATGTGGCACACTGACTTAATGCAAGTACAGAATGTATTTAATGTTGTATGAATCTATGTTAAATGACTCACTGTTTTCTTGGCTTCATCCAGCGATCTCTGAATGCACTCCTTCATCCTTTCTCTGTGTTGCTCCATCTCCAGTTTAAGTTTTTCCTCTCGCTGTCTGGAGTGTGTAACAACATGTAATAAGAGAGGTAGTTATACAGTATACTGGATTTTTGTCAATGCACCAAAGACAGGAATTAAAATATAAACAGAAACAAAACCCATTTTTATCTTTCTGGATTGTTAAATAAAAACTGGAGATTAAGGAGGTGGATAAAATTTACTATTCACAAGTTAGCCCTGTTTACTAAACATCTGCGTTCAGTGAGACAAACCTGCTCCTCTTCTCGCTGTCCTTGATGTTCCTCAGTGTTTTCAGCACGTCCTCTGGGATGCTCTCAACTTGCTGGAACAGCAGAGATATATGGTGCTCAAAACCAGTCAGCATCTCCAAAGTGGTGAGTTGGGTCGGCCGTTCATCGACGCATGAGGAATACACCTTTGCCACCTTAATCGCCAAATCATTCAACATAATATCCTGTATGTAAGACAGTTGTAGAAGATGAGAGAAAAAAAGGTTCCCCAAGGCTGCTTTGATTTCAAATAGGATGATATATTAAAAAAGTCGAGCATAAAGTACACTCTGCATCATTACCTGGTCCTCTGTCTTTATTGATTCATGGAGACGAACACTCTTTTTAAGCATGGCCATTCTCTTCTTTTTGATGTCAACTCTCTCCTTCATATCTTCTACATGCATGTTTAGCTGCTCTTCTTCCTCTTTCCTTGACACAAAGAAGAGTTTATCTATCTATCTATCTATCTATCTATCTATCTATCTATCTATCTATCTATCTATCTATCTATCTATCTATCCTTGGTGCTTTCCTTTTGCTTGGTTAGCAGACATAGCAGCAGTCACATAAATTGTAAGTTCAAAAAGCAACCAACCGCTGTCACGAGAGATCTGCAAGATACTGTGAGGACTTCTTCACAAAAGCCAAAATTCATGCTGTGTACACCTGGCTTTGAAAGAACTGTTAGAAAAACCGCGATTCTCACATTTTCTTTATGGTGACCTCGAAAGTGTGCTCCATTTTCTTATCCATCCTGGTGATGTTGTGAATCAGAGACAGGTTCTGGTCAGTCAGCTCTGACAGCAGGACGATTACCTCCAGGGGATCGAAGTTATATAGTTCCAGCTTGTCCTGCAGGGAAAGGTAAGTGAGCACTGTAAATAAAGCCTCCTGATGAAAATGGCTGTTGCTTTAATGATCTTTGGTTTTAGACTCACTAACTCTGACCTCATAGATTGTGTTGTTTCCATTCAGCTGGAAATTCTTCACCCTGAAATGAAATAGATTTTAAGATCATAGTTTTAAAAAGTTTTATTCTGCTGGAACTCCTACCACCTTCTTTGCTGTTGTTGCATTGCTCCCTGTTGCTCTGATAACATCACAGATTAAATTATCCAACAAAACTAAAACTAATCAAACTAACTAATCAAATTAAATGACCTGAGAATTGATAGAAAAGAACCAACTGGTGATAGTGTGTGTGTGCTTTCTTACACGGCATCACTGTGGTTTGAGAACAGTGTAGACTCACTGGTGGGAGGCAGCACTCTATCTGGAGTGGAATCCAGATCTTTCTCCAAGCCTGTGTTAAAGTTCATACTTACAGATCAGATGTATGTGAGCTTCTATGCCAGCAGTTATAATGCATTCAATAGTAACTCAGACACGGTTTATTTTTTAATAAAAGGCTGGTCTCCTATTTAAGAAACCCACACCAGTCTGACCCGTATCCATTTAATGTTGTTTTCCTACCATCTGGTCTGTCTGGCAAGCCTTTGGTTGTTAAAGTCGCTGCTTTCTGGGCTTCCTGCCACTCGGGAGGAGAAAGCTTGAACAGAACTCTCCTGTACCTCTTATATTCATTCAGAACCTTCTCAATCTTGGCAACTTCACTATAAAGAAGAAAGCTTTAGCATGCTACTTATTCCAAATTTGTCACTTTCTTTTACAGATCTATGCATTAAACCGATGCGTACCGCATTTAAGTGACATGCATGATATTCCTATTGTTAGCCATACCTTTTTAATATTGCTGTTTCATCGGTGACCTTCTCAATCTTATCATTCATTTCCTGTATGGAGCTACTTGAGTTTTTCAACCTGCTAAAAAAGCAGTTTTACAGTTATTACAACAGAAAATTATATTTAAATCAACCCATCCCCTATTCAAAACAATATTTATATCAAAATATCCCATTTTGATATGGGGAATTTTCTGATGCTTACAGATTTTGGGCATCCATAACTTTCTTCTCGACAGAGGTGAGGAATTCTTTCAAAAAGCAATCTTCAAATGCCTTGAAATCTTCAAGTCTTTGTACTACATACTTCTGTGCAGTCATGGCCTTTGCGGTCGTCTTAATCTTTGAACTGATCACCTTATCATCAAACTGGATTATTTAACAACATAAGATTAACATACTGTAAATTTGTCATAATTAAAAGACAGAAAAGCTTTGATGACTGTTTTCTAACAGAAAACACATTTATTAAAGAAATAATGAAATATGCTAGACTTTATGTGCATACAATTGAAAAAATAGTTCCAGATTTTAGGAAATATAAATCAAGGAAGAGATAACGCTTAAGAGCCAATACGTCCTTCTTTTTTAACAAACAAAATTTGATTTTATTTCCCCCGCTTCCAGTCTCTCCAGGCTGTAGCGAAATCCTAAGTAAGGCTAATCCCAAACATCTTTTCATTCAAATTAAAAGTTTGTCAGATTAAAATCTCTATAGCTCCATTTAAGAGCAGGATATTTGTACTTTTGCTCACATGAATTTTGAAATAATCTCGACCTCAGGATTAGTCCTTACAATTGAGGGATTCTTCTTGGGTCTAGAAAAACAAGCTAAACATTTTAATAGAAGTAGAACAATGTGCAAAAGTTTTGAGCCACCCCTCAAACAGAAATTAGTTTCAATGATTTTTGAAATATGCAACCATAGTTGTACAATTATAAGAACTAATGTAAGAGAAAATAATAGTGTCTGTATCTCTATCTAATTTTGATGGGCTTATGATGGACCTCTAAAGTTTTCTTTTCTTTTGTTTAATGCAACTGCTGATTTTGCAAAAACTATGCCTTAGACCCTTTAATTACATTACCTTTAGCTGCGCATTCTTCTCTGACATGAGGATCCAGTTCTCACTGCTGTCTCTCTTAGAAATGTCTAAGCAAAGAGAATAAGTCATGTCAACACTAGAGAGCAATCCTTCAAACCAAATGTAACCTTTAAAACACTGCATTCTGCTCTTTCTTCACCCACCTTGATTAACCTCAGACGTTGACATGCCTGTGAGGTCTTGAGTAGGGAGAGATGTGTTTTTCCTCTTCTCCCTTTCCTCCTGCTCTTTCAACAGCTGACCTATCACCTCATTTGTGGACATGCTTTGTCTGTCCTGCACTGAAGACAGTCAAAACAAACCCTAAAAATAGTTTTCAATACAGTGCTTTGAAACAGTTTTTGTGTATGTGTGTGTGTATTTTTCACACTTGCATGTTTCACATCGTTAAAGAAATGCTGCTGATCAAAAGGAACTCAAAGGCTCGTCTCAAATTTACCAAAAAGCATTCCCCAAGAATTTTGTGAAAATATTCTGTTGACTGATGAGACAAATTAAAAGGTTTTGGAAGGTCTAATTCTTGTTACACCTGGGATAAAAACAAAAACATCATACCAACAGCCAAACATGGTGCTGGTTAAGTGTGATGGTCTGGGGAAGAAGCATGGACCATGGATTCATACACAGTGATTTCAAAGACTCGTTGACAGTTATTCCTAACATGTGACTGCAGTTCTTGCTGCCAAAGCTGGTACAATCAGTTATTAGGTTTGGGCGGCAATTATTTTTTAACACAGATTTAGATAGTATTTTTTTCAAAATAAATTAATTCATCATGTAAAAACTGAATTTTATATTTATGTGGATTATCTTTGCCCAGTATTCAAATTTATTTGATGTTCTGAAACATTAAAGTGTGACACATATGACACAGGAAAAGAAATTAAAGAGTGGGCAAATATTTTTTCACAACATTGGAGTTAAGTGCTATATTTACATTTTACAATTTCACAACACTTTTTTTAACAAATAAGGTCCAGATTTCTAAATAAGTACATATTTCATCCGATGAAATGACACTACAAATATCACCAAAACTTTGTGAAAAACTAGCAATTAATTTTTACATATGATTTGGGTGCTTACCTGGCTGTAGTGGTGAAGACATCTCTTAGCTTGATGCTAGATTCGCTGTTGTTCTTACAAACAGACGTTTAAAGTCAGGTTTAGCCGCAGTTTCTTCAGACTACAAACAGCAACCATATAACAACACACTAATTCATAACAAAAGAAAAACACTGACTGCCCTACTGAAACGTGATGTTGTCATTCTTATCATTTTGTAATTCCACCAAAATCTTAAACTGGAACTAGCGTTAGCTTAGCTTACTTAACCCTCTGTGCAAGTAGAACTGCTAGCTTATCGACACCGTAGAAGTTAGCCTTTATGCTAACTTGTTGATAACACTTTTTATGCATGCTTTAATTTAAAACATGGTGAATTCAGAAATAAAATAAATTACCAAATACATAAAAACTCAATGACTGCACCCTCTGAACATACTCTTTCTCTTTATCCCATGGATAGGAACACTGGAGCTTCAAACTTTGATGTTTAAGATTAAAAGTAACAGACGACTGTCCTGGTTACTGTTGCCTTGTTTTTCTTCTTCTTTGCGACTATTGTTTAAGACTGAGGAAGTGGACAGTGTTTAGAGGAACTGTGTAAAAAAACTGCAAGAAATGTTTTACATTTTCTGATGTTTAGATGCAAATGTTAGTTCCATGTGCAAAAGATGATTAAAAAATAAATAAACGCTCATAACAGTTTCTCATATTTTATGTATTCTTCAGATTATTTACAGTAACGTGCAAAAGTCTTGAGCCACAGCAACTGAAACATGGGGTAACATAAATGGTTTTCAAACTGAGTTTGTATGAGTCTAACAAGCTTGGACGACAATATTTGGTATGACCACTTGTGTTTTTGAATATTGCCTGAAAGATAGAAAGATAAAAATGTTAAGTTGTCTGGTTCATCCCTTGAGCTGGGTGTCATGTTATGCTTGAATGATTCATAGATCACTGGTAAGTGGCATAACAAATAAAGAGAGAAAGAAATAAACAAACCAAAATCCCCTTTAATTAGTCAGATACAAAGACTGTAAAAAAAATGCAACTGGTGTCAAAAAAAAGAGAAGAAGAAAACTTTGAAAGACCTTCAGAAAACCTGGGGAACTATTGCTAAAGAGCTTCTTTTTTTAATTAAAAAAAGTCTGACTCCTTGGAATCAAAACCAAAAAAGAAAGAGATGGGTGGCTCAAAATCATATATTACTGTGCATTTGAGTGGCTATGACTAATAAATACAGAAAAAAAAAAGTATACCATTATATTAATGTAATCAGAATGTTTACAGCATGAGACAATGAGGCAATACATGAGAATCGTTATTTTGTAGTGCAGACCCAGAAAGAATTAGACCAACACCAAGGAGAGCTGCAACCCCCAAACTTCTATTAGCCCCAAAACTCAAATAAAAAAAGCATTCAGGGCAAGTGTTGGGATATGTCACAGTGAACGAGCCTGGATACTCATATTTCCTTTTATTTCAAAAGGAAATATTTATCATGTAAAGAGTGGCAATGCTACCCTCAGACTACTCTTCCGTAAAAGACTCTACAGGAGGCTGGAAAAAAGTAATGCTTCAGTGCCCTCTAGAGACAAAAAGAACATGAAACTCTATGTGTCTTGGTGACGTTTTCTGCAAATCATGAAACACTTTAACAAAAAATATACATGAAAAATTACAGATTCAATAACGAGCTACCCCGTGCACATGTATTAGACAGCAAGCGCTTCAGGTCAGATGACAGAGCTCTGGTCTGATAGTTACCAGGGAATGATGAGTGACAAAGGGTTTGCTTTTAGGTCATGATTCCAGAGGACTGCAGCAAGCAAGCAATTCATTGCCCCAGAGAGGCAGTTATTCCACAGCAACTGGAAAAGACATCGCTAGATGACAAAGAACCACCTTTAAAGTGTATTTATGCGCATCTCAATTCTTCCTCTATATTTTAAAAAATTTGCTCAATCTGGACAAAAAAAGAAAGCAAAAATAAGGAGTTAACTTTAAACTATCACTTGTACAAACTGCATTGAGACAGCTGGATTAGACAATGTCTCAGAATAGGGTATGCTCCTGTAATAACTGAATCATAATTTCACAGTGTGCTACTTAAAAAGGTTTAAGCCCTGATATGTGGGTTACAGTACTCCCTCCCACAGGCCAGATTATGCCATCTGTGAGAAAAAAAACAGTATATCTCTGTGAGTGTGTTGGTGTGTGTGTGTGTGTGTGTGTGTGTGTGTGTGTGTGTGTGTGTGTAGCTTTCAAATAAAATTCTGAGTGTCTCATTTCACTCTTAATCCAGGTCATTCCTACTGTGATGTTAATAGCCTAAAGGGGACCGACACACTCCTGTTTACGCCAAGTAGTTGATCTGAAGTGAAGTGATAACACACACACAACAGACACCCATACACACAAAAACATAAGGAGCAAAAGTTAAAGAATGCACAAAATTAACCCTTAGAATTGAGAATACTATGCAGATTTTAACCACTGTATATATTAATTTTTTCTGCTAATTAATCACTTTGTTAAAACGGTCAATAAAATTTTTACTGCTTATCAAAAAGTGATAAGCAGCGTCTGTGTCACACTAAAGTTAAACTTTTCATTCGGTCTTGATTTGATGTCAAAAACTTGAGGTTGGCACACGAATATCCGATTCATAGAAGGTTGACTTGTGGCCCTTAAAAATAGGACTAATACATCCTGAAATAAAATACTGGATGCCATGGCGACTGTGATTGGATGACAGGAGTAATCTGCTGACTAAATCCCCTCATGGCTCAAGCTGTGATTTGGACTGGAGATTTGTTTTCAGAGTGAACTCCGCCCTGCAGAGATGACTGTCAACGTAAAGTACACTACAGACTGCAGCAGGCCAGCAAATAGTCTGTTTAATTTGGAGGAAACACCTTGGACTCGACTTTGACAGCTTCTTCCCTGCGTGCTGACGTGAACAAAACGAGCCAACCGGCAAGCCAACGCTAAAGCTATTCTATGGTAGGACAATCATGACCAAGTTTTCAGCTGCTGCGAATGTAGGTCTGTTGTTACAGGTTGTGTTTTCTGTATTAGTATAAGAAAACCCTTTTTTTTTTCCTGTACAAGTAATTAATAAAATAATTTTAAAAACTGAAACGTCATACTCCCACCCCCCCAGATTCTGTGATTGAAAACATTTTTTAAAATACAATGTTATCATAGAATTGAACAGTTTTGTATTTTAAGTAATTAGTTTGTTGTTTCAGTGAACTTTTATTAAATGTTAACTGTCTAAATAGGAAGCCTGGTCCAGCTAAAGCTAAAGCAGTCTAAGGAGGACAAATAAAAGTTGTATTTTCCAAGGTCACAAAGTTTTAACATGAACATGCTACAAAACAGTCCTTTTGTCCTTTGTCCATTCAGCTATTGGTTATTAATTGATCATAAATAAATACATGAGGCTGAGCTCAAATTAATTGATAATATGCATGATAATAAGAAACTAACAGACAGCCCATTTGCTCTAACCAACAATATAAGCATGTAGTTTTTTGGGAATTGAAGAATGGACCTCTGATGCTACACCAAAATCATTCCCTCAGTGTCAGTCAAGCATTAAATGAGCATCCACTCCATAATTTAACATTTTCTTTGAGCTTCAGAGCTGCAAAAACAGCTGTTAAAATTACATATGGTAGTTTATGTTCTTGTTGTTACCTATATTAACAATGTGCTGGCATGGCCATCCCTTGTTTTCATCTGATATAGATATGTAAACAGGAATGCAAATTCGCTTAAAAAACAGTCGCACAGTGCCTGTGTTAGCTCCCCTTTTGTCACAATAAGGTTCCTGAATAAAACAGATGTTGCAGCGAGTACGTTAACCTCTTTGCAAAAATGGACAATTACATACAATAGGCGTACCACTTTGACAGGTAGTGATAAACTGGGACATTCAACAGCAAGTGGCCCAATGTACAAAGCAGCAAATATTGGGAAAAAAAACCCCTCAAAGGTGTCATTTTTAATTTGTCTCTCTATTACACGTTCCCCACACACTTTTTAAATTGTAAAAGCATGGAAAGCTAACAAGCATACTAATGCATTGTGCATTATGCATTACAGGGTTGCTTTTTAAATATAAAGACACATTTAAAGTGAAATTATTAACTTAATTTGAGAACACTAGTGACTGCGTCGACTTTATGCATTAATATGTTGATTGTTCTAGTCCACAGGTTGCAGTAAGCAGTGAGCTGTCAGCTCTGTCCTCTGACTCCAAGCAGCTGGGGAGATGTGAGAAGGGGTCATGCCTCTGGTGAAGAGGAACATTGAGCCTCGGCACCTGTGCCACAGTGCCGTGCCCGATGGAATTGGCAACGAGCTGGAATGTGTAACCAACAACACGCTGTCCGCTATAATTCGACAGCTCAGCAGTCTGAGTAAGCTTACAGTTGATCAGATTCAGAATAAAGTATCAATGCGTCTTTAACCTGTGCTCATTACATGCAATCAAGGTGTTGCCACTATTAAGCAAATCGAAATTTAAATCATAAGGAAAATTATACAGTAAAAAACCTAAACTATCTAAATATTCAGGGCATAATTACTTCAAGTTGTGAAAGATCGTTAGAAGTGATGGGGTGGGAAACTAATTTGCACACAGTGATTTTTAGCTTGATTTATTATGCATTTAACAGATCGATTTGTCACAACTAATACATAATATGGACCAAAGTACTTGGCCTCCTACACCTTACTTCTAGAGGAACTGCTCAGCCATTGAAACTCAGGCCATGAAGCTCCCAGTGCAGTTTTTGTGCTGATGTTAATGCTAGAGGAGCTTTGGAGCTCTGCACTTTCTCCCTGCTCTGTAACTTTACATGCCACTTACAAATGATCGTGGAACATTTAGGAAGGAAGGCATTTCAAAAAAACTGACTTTTTGTAACAGTAACATCCTGTTGCAGCACCACACTCAAATTCTTTAGGAGGATTGACACTTTTGAAGATGTTTGTAAAGGGAGACTGCTTAGTGCTTGAATTTATACATCGGTGGCAGTGGGACTGAAAATACCTAAATTCAAAGATTAAGAGGTGTGACCTAATCCGTTGGCTACATAGTGTATATCAGTCCTGTAACACAACACAATATGCATTGAGTTTTCTGGGGATAATAATTTGACATATTGACATATACCCTCTATGTCATAGGAGTGCTTTTGTTTTCTTAATCCTTTAAAAGGGATTATCAGATAAGAGTGTCACTTAATTGCTGGCTTTGAATGAGGGGAGAAACAAACAAAGAACATATTTTAAGGGTATCAAATTTGTCAGTGTGTGATTTGTTGCAGTCGTTGCTAAAATGCATTTCACTCTGTACGCAGGTTTGTGCAGAAGTACAGTGGTTAATGTTAAACATGTTGTTGCAATGTCTGTATAAAGATTAGAAAGCCTGTGTGCTTTTGTGGTTACAAATAAGTGAGAGGAGACAAGAAGAAATCCTACAACATATCCTTTGATAGTTTGTACATCCGTGTGTGTGTGTGTGTGTGCGATTAGTAAACTTACCGAAGCTTAGAGCTTAGCGTACAGATTTGTATAACAGCACGATAAGATGGAAAGTAACTGGGCGGAGACACAAACACAGGCAGTCTAATTATAGCTTTTACATTAAGCAGACTAGAGCTGTTTGAAATGTGCCCCTGACTGAGTAATGGAAACAAACATTTTGAGCAGTTTAATTTAGATAGTTGATATCAACACTCTGCCTTTAAGGTGCCATTATCTTTTAAATGTTATTGAGATTTGACACACCTTTCCATTTATTGCTTTTCCTCTATTCTCTCCCGCTTTCTTGCTCTGGTTGCAGGTAAGCATGCAGAAAATGTTTTCGGGGAGCTTTTTAATGAAGCCAACACCTTTTACGTGCGCGCAAACTCTCTTCAGGATCGAATTGACCGCTTGGCCATCAAAGTCACCCAACTAGACTCCAGTGTGGAGGAGGGTTAGTTCATTGGGTATCAGTGAATCTTCTTCTGTTTGTTGCTATGGTTATTCCTACACGCTTTATATCATACTTTCCTCCTTAATTTTGCTTTTTTAAAGTTTCCCTTCAAGACATAAACATGAGGAAGGGCTTCAGAAGCTCGAGTGTCCAGGACCAGCAGGTTTTATCCAAGGGCAGCCTTCCTAGTGCTGTAGCCGACATGTACAACAGCAGTGACAGACCTCCTCCTCTCAGCAACCTCACTGCTTACAGGTGCTGCACTGTTTTTCTTTCTTTTTTTACTGTTCTAAAGTTAGATATCTGTCTTCAGTTAATGTTGGAAATTGGTTTTTAAATACAGAGAGGATTCTACTGATGCAATGAAATACTACTCTGACCCATCATACTTTTTTGACCTGTGGAAAGAGAAAATGCTTCAGGACACAGAGGAGAAGAGGAAAGAAAGGCGGAGGCATAGGGTCAGAGTGCATTTTACCCATCATGTTTACGCATGTACGTATTTACTTACTGACTGCTTACTCAAACTCTGTATTCCTGTTGTTTCTGCAGGAACAGAAGCGATGTGTGGACAGCAGCACCATTCAGCGTGAGGTGAAGAAAGTCAGAAAGGCACGAAACCGCAGGCAGGAGTGGAACATGATGGCGTTTGATAAAGAGCTCCGTCCAGATCACAGACATCCACAGAGTCTCAGGCGAGGAGCATCATCTGAGGGCTCCCTTTCGCCAGATGGGAGGTTAGAGAAGCTACCAAGATTGTGTTTTGGATAGGTTTTCAATGTATTTTTCTGTATAATACAACGCTACAGAGGGAATTAAAGAATTTCCCATCTTTGGGACTAATGATGTAGATCTTATTTATCCTAGTTGTATTTTTATGGAGAAATTTGTAAAATTATTGTAGATTTATGTTACTTTTAAAATAAAACTTAGCAGATGGGGGGGACTTGTGTGTGTGTGTGTGTGTGTGTGTGTGTGTGTGTGTGTGTGTGTGTGTGTGTGTGTGTGTGTGTGTGTGTGTGTGCCCAAAAGGAGGGGTAGATCCGTTTTCACAAATAGGACCTTGTGACCCAAATTGTAATATCTTTGTTGTGTAAAGCGTCGGCTTTGATATTGTAACAACAAATCTACCATCTGGATCTGCATCTGCATGACAAACTCTCTTTTACTGTTTATCCAGGCCTGACCTCTTAGATTACCCCATCCCTCCAGTGCCTGCCCATGCTGCTTGTAACTCTGCCAAGTCTCACGTTCCTGGGAACACGCATCCCTCACCACCTGTGGAGCATGAATACCAAAGCATTGATGTCAACTACAAGAGAGTAACCTATGCCGCAGCAGAGCCTCGTGCTGCAGACCGAATGAACGGTTCAATTCGTCTCCCTGCAGATTACAAGTATGTGAGAGAAATTGAAATATAATATACTCTTTTTGGGCATCTGCAACTTAATCCTCTTTCTTTTACTGTCACACAGGTCTATCCCACCACCTCCTGCCCCCGGCCCTCCAATCCCATCAGCCCAGACAGCCTTTGGTTTTCCACTGGGTGCACATCCTCCAGCGCCACATAATGGCGTTGGGCACGCGGGCCCGGGCTGCCCACTCCCACCAATACCTCCTCCAGGGAATCACACGGTCCCTCAACCCCCGGGTCCCCCACCTCCTCCTCTCCCTCCGCCATCTGCACCCTCACACCTAGCGGGACACAGTGAAGGCTGCAGACGTGAGACCAAACCTGTGAGAGACGCAAGAAGTGACCTGCTGTCTGCCATCCGCATGGGTGAGTCAGCGTGCTTAGACGCAGTTGGCATGGCTTCCAGCTGGTCAGATGAGCACACATGTGAGCAGCTAACACTCTGTGCAATACAGACATATAATATTCTGTCCTCTCTCTACATGTGTGTGCCCTCATTAGGCATCCAGTTGAAGAAAGTCCAAGAGCAGCAGGAGCAGCAGAGCAAGCGGGAGCCGGTGGGGAACGACGTAGCCACCATCCTTTCCCGACGCATTGCAGTTGAGTACAGCGACTCTGAGGAGGACTCTGAGCTTGATGAGAATGAGTGGTCGGACTGACAAAACACTGCATTGGTCTTTTCTCCACTGGATCTTCAGCACAGATGAAAGAAAACTGTGAAACACTCCATCTAGCTCCATCTAGTGGAGTCTTTGTACCAAGCCACTACTGCCAAAATACCTCTACCTTGTAGTTTTTATTTCTACTTTCATAATAAATATTTCATGAGCAACTGAACCACTAATCTAGCACATCTACACAGTTTGCACCAGTTTGTTTTGTAACAGGTTAATATCCTCATTTCAAAACTGAGTCAGTGTGTGATAAATCACACAGTTCTATCACATGGAAATGTGACCCATTAGTTTCTTAAGATTGTCTTTGTATACTGCTTGTTCTAGCAAAATGTCCTTACGTGATGACCTCCTATCTTTGTCCAGCAGCATCCCAGCGGAGAGCATTTCAGTGTAAGAAAAGCATAGGTATAAATAATACATGTTACCATTGGCTGACTTCCACATAGCTTCTTTAGTTTCAAGGTCTTTGTATTAGGCACGCTGGCTCATTGGCACACTACCTAACTAGCCGGCTCAAACACTCAAACACACAAGTAGAGCAAGCCTGTGCTTTCCCTACTATGACAAGTTAAAATATGTGCTGTGATATAAACAAGCACTGAATCATACCATAATATTGAAAGATTCAAGGGTTTTTGTTTTAATTTAATCTTCCTAATCTCACACTTAATTCCATTAGTTTTGTAATAGCTACCTCAAGTTGTAACAATTTCTCAGTTCTGATTGTGTGTATGAAGGTATCATGTCTGACATTAATTCTATTAGTTGTGATGCGTCTTTACAAATACTGATATATCAATAAACTTTCCAAATTAGCAAGAAAATCATGCTATCATTAAGTCCTTGTCTTTTTTCTTTTTTACTTCTTTCTTTTTAACTTAAACTCCACTAGATACTAGAGGTCAAAACCCACTTGAAAATTATTTATAGATTTTTGCACAACCTTAATGGGGATGGGCCAGTGGGTCAAAAATATGTTGCAGAGACATATGATGAATACACATAATGACTTTGAATGACCGTAAAGGCAAAAATGACCTAAACAACCCTGCAGACATACAAAGTAGCCAAAAAAGAGGCATAGAGTGGCTACAAAGAGATTAAAAACAGGCAAAATCAGACAGAATATCATAGAATTTGAGCAGAGACACAAAAATATGGTCACACAATGACTACAAAATGATGGAAAATGACCTCTGTCAGACAAAAAGGAGTAATATAATACACAACAAAATCAAAATTAAGTAAATGATCACAAAGAGACACGAGATGGCTAAATTCACTGATCAACTGAGAACTAAAGTGATATGTAAATTTAATTACATAAAAAATGATAATCAAAACAGTCAATGTGCAAATGTGCAAATCATTAAAGGACTTCATATATGAACGCACCAAAACTGGTAACACTGCCTCACACTCAAAAAATTTTTTTTTCATTTAACCAGTTTTTGAACAATAATTTGGGGATATTTAAATAAGGAATGAAAAAAAATTTACTGTGAAAAATTTTCAAGTTACAGTACCTGGAAGGACAATGAGGTCCTTACACTGGCTGCCTGTCCGTCAGAGGATAGACTTTAAAGTTCTGATGCTGGTCTATAAAGCTCTGAACGGTTTAGGACCAAAATACATCAATGACCTCCTGACCCAGTATGAACCATCCAGATCCCTCAGGTCATCTGGATCCGGTCTTTTATCAGTTCCCAGAGTCAGAACCAGACACGGAGAAGCTGCATTCAGCTTTTATGCTCCTTATATCTGGAACAAACTCCCAGAAAGCCTCAGATCAGCTGAAACACTCAGTTTATTTAAATCCAGGTTGAAGACTCACCTGTTCTCAGCTGCATTTGAATAAAGCACCAAATCCACACTTTAAGCTTAAATTTCAAAACTTACATTTAACTACTGATTTTATCTACTGTTCTGATTTTATCTGTTTTGATTTTATATACTGTTTTGTTTGTTTGTTTGTTTGTTAATTAGTTAGTTAGTTTATTTGCTTGTTTTAATCAATTTTAAATCATGCTTTTTATTTGTTCTTGTTTCTAATGTCTCTGTAAAGCACTTTGAATCACCTTGTTGTTGAATTGTGCTATACAAATAAACTTGCCTTGCCTTGCCTTGCCTTGCCTTAAAAGTTTGTGCTCTCAAAACTACAACCAAATCAACTTTACAGCCACTTAAGTTACAGAAACCAAAACCGTTTTTAATTCTGCAACCAATTTTCAGCTTTAATTTTATAGGCTATATCATAGTGTCAATAAAAATATAATATAATATTAAAAATGCTAAATTAATTATGGAATATAAGTATTTAATAAAATAAAGAAAACAATGAAACAACGAGGCCTGTAAATTCATTCACACCCAGCAGAGGTCACCCGATGCCAAAGTGTAGCTCAACGGAACTTGAGAAACTGTTAACTATTAGACGCCATGTTGGCTCTGTAATAACTGCCAGCGTTGCAAGACAGGAAGCGAGTTGAGCCGCAATGGAGATGTTTTCGTCCCGTGACAGTGTACTGGTTGGCAGGTGATTAGCACAGCGAAGCTCCTCCTCAGTCTTCTACAGTAGACACAATTCTGGACAGCTGACCATTGTAATAAGGTATAGTATTTATACAGGCTTTGTAGGGTTTTACATTCCCACCAGCTTGCCTTTCAGTTATGGGGCAAATTTCGAGTGTAAAATTCTTTGTTTAGCTTAAACTGTGAACGATGATGATGATGAAGATAGCTAGTGTGTGCTAACTAGTCACCTGACTTCTACGTGCACACGCTCAAATCAGCTTTACTCTCAGCCTTCCGTATGGAGGAACAAACAAGCTACCATCTGGCCAGGAATGGCAGCGCTGACTCATTTTACCTCATCTTTAGTATCTGATGGAAGGAAAATGAAGCTTTAGCAGAGTTAGCTCACGACCTAACACTGTTAGATGTGGTCATTCATTCATGAGAGAAACCACCAAGTCACGGTGCTCGCATAATTCTCCCTGTCACACTAGCATCTAAAGTAAGTCTGGAAAAATAATAGTAATACAATAACTCTACCCTGGCTAATGATTAAGTATTGCACGATGTCTTAACTTGTGTGTGAGTGTTATAAAATGACTTGAAAGCATATTTTGTCCTCTGTGTGCCCCTCAAGGAATTTAGTAAGATATAAACTATCAAGATGGATACCTCAAAACTTCCCAAGATCCAGGATGAGGACCGAGAAAGCCAGTTTGGATATGTACACGGTGTTTCTGGACCAGGTCTGGTCTTCTTGCCTTTTAAATGGCTAGAATCTATCAGGTTGAATGTAGTTAAAAGTAGTATGGTTGCAATGTTTAGCTAAGTAGCTGACAAATTAAGGAAGTTGATCACATGATGACAAAATCATGACATTTCCTGTTATTACCCGTCTAATCTCACTAAAGAATGCCTCTCTAGCATAGCTGTAGATTATATAGTTATCCTGAACTGCATGACTTCTGCTTAAGGATATCTTTGGTCTGTCACATATGTTCAAGCTATAACATTTGTCATTTTTGTCTTAATAATCTCTTTGAAATTGTCCCAGTTGAAAATATAAACAAGTAAAACGTTTCATTGTTTCTTAATCGTTTCAGTATCTGTAATTTTCTTTCTTGCTATTGCCATCAGTGGTGACAGCTACCGCCATGGCAGGAGCAGCCATGTATGAGCTGGTTCGAGTCGGTCACAGTGAGCTGGTGGGAGAAATCATCCGTTTAGAAGGGGACATGGCAACTATCCAGGTCTACGAGGAGACATGTATCCTTTCTGCTGCCGTGTTTCGTTCATCTTTTGTCAAACATCAAAAGTAAAAAAACAAAAAAACAAATCAGACTGAATTGCATTAAGAAAAGCTGCTTGGCAGATATCACGTTTCAGACATTTCGTGGTTTGTTTGGTGACCCTAACTTGATCATACAGCTGGCGTGTCTGTCGGGGACCCTGTCCTGCGAACTGGAAAGCCCCTGTCAGTAGAGCTGGGACCGGGTATCATGGGCTCCATCTTTGACGGTATCCAGCGCCCACTAAAAGACATCAATGACCTCACTAACAGTATTTACATCCCAAGAGGAGTAAACATTGGTGCTCTCAACAGAGACAACAAATGGGAATTTACGCCCGGGCAGAACCTTCGGGTAAGGAAGGCGCATTGTTGCAGTGATGAGTCCTTCAAAGTCTTTTCTTCTTAAGTGTGCTGACCAAAAATGTGATCCCCTCGCCAGGTCGGCAGTCACGTAACTGGTGGAGATATCTATGGTATGGTATTTGAAAACTCCTTAATCAAACACAAGCTAATGCTTCCACCTCGTAGCAGAGGCACCATAACCTACCTGGCTCCACCTGGAAACTACGACATTTCAGTGAGTGTTGCATTTGAAACAAAGTGCTTTTTATTTTGGATAAAAACAAAACTGATTTGGGGGGTTTTCTTGCATTCAGGATGTGGTTCTGGAGCTTGAGTTTGAAGGCATTAAAGAGAAACTCAGCATGGTGCAAGTGTGGCCAGTACGACAAATCCGCCCCGTCACAGAAAAACTACCAGCTAATCATCCACTGCTGACCGGCCAGAGAGTTCTGGATGCACTTTTCCCGTGAGTATTCATTTGCTGTGCATTATGACATCTTTATTTAATATATGCCGCTTAACAGATTTATTAAACCGCCTGTCATAAAAACAAGAAAACACTAATATTTTTGAAATCTTTCAAAAACATAAAAACAAACTTTTTTTATAAATCAGTAAATTTGAAATTATTTTCAGCATTAAAAATATAATTTTGTTTAAAAATCATGCACATACTGGTGGATTAACCATTACTTAACCATAAAAAAAGGATTATAGTGATTATCAATAGAGTTAATTTAGGGCAGCCCATAAGCGTTACAGTAGGTGGTGGTACTGCAAGTACTGCATATCACATATTATGAAAAGTGGGTTTTTCACTGGTGGATTGTTTAGTTATTTATTACATAGTAAGACCGTGTGGCTGTTGTGCTTTACAGCTGTGTGCAGGGTGGCACTACTGCTATACCAGGAGCTTTTGGATGTGGAAAGACTGTGATCTCGCAGTCATTGTCCAAGTACTCCAACAGTGATGTCATCATCTATGTCGGCTGTG